GCAAACTCATTGACAATGATCCAGCTGAGGCACATAGCTCTCTAAGGTGCGCCACTGTTGGGAGAATCATCTCTGAAACTGTTAGCCCTTCCTCCCCCCTTCATGCAAAGGGAAGAGGTAATCAAAGACGGGCAGCAATACCTTCACTTCCCCAGAGGCATGGCCGGAATTAGCAGAAACCCTTTGTGAAGTCTTAGCATCAATTCCCAGTCAAACAGGAATTGTTTATTTAAACTATATGGGCCAGGGTCTGAAGTCAGAAGGATGTTGCATAAGTAAAGACCTCAAGATTTGATGTTATAAATGTTTTTCAAACATACACCAGCATCCAGAACAAGAGGAACAGCAAAAATCCCACCCATCTAACCCCAGTTCCCGACACCATAAAATGTCAATATAAGTGAAGCGTATCCAGGATTGAAGGACTGTGATAGTTTCTTTAAGGGTTAAAAAATAAATCCTTGGCTATTGCCAGAAAAGCTAAACAAACAAACCCTAAAGGAGCTAGTGCTAGTGCAGAGAGACACCATGCCAAAGCACTCAGCATAAGAACCACCATATAACGCAGACATGCCTGGCTGCTTTTTGACTTATCTGCTCGGGTTTCAGCATCATTAATTTTCCCTGAATGTGGAGCAGAACCTTTAATTTTGGTTTTTGAATTGTACTGTAAATATTTAGGACATAATGATGACCAGCTCTTTAGGCAGCAGTATGGAAGGCAGCAATGCACCTTCCCCCAGCCCACCTTGCATGGCCCACATTGCTGCGACAATGCTCCTGGGAGTGCAAGGGCTACTAATTATGCTGCTCGGGACCACGTCCCCTGAAAGTGGGAGAAGGAGAGAGAGAGAGAGAGAGAGAGAGGAGTAGGCAGGGCTATGGAGTACTACCTACTCCCCCATCTGCACTGGCCGATAGATTTGGCTGGCTGGCTGCACAGGATGGGGTTATTTAATGGGGGGGTGTCAGACTATGCTCCTCTCTGTGTAACCAGAGAGGCTCCAAGATGCTTCCCAGTGCTCCCCCTGCTTCTGTCCCCAGCTCCGCCCTGCCCCAGCACAGGGCGGTATCTTGACAGCACTGTCTAGCCCTCAGTTATGTTAACATGGTTTTATGTAACATGGTTTTATGTAAATACATATTTGGAAACTGCCACATGGGGCCCAGGTTGTAGTATGAAGCAGCCTCTGTTTCTATACTATAGGAACAGATGACACCACAGCGCTGTGATCCGCTGGGGTGAAGATAACGGTGCAAGAGCAGGACTAGCGATGTGCTCCCCATAGCAGAGGAGAGGCACCAAAGGACTTTGTCTGGTTTCTACCTGGGTGTAACTGCATGCAGACGTCAGGAATTTCTGACCATTCAAGTGATCACCACCAGAGACAGGGAGATAGGACTCCTGGGTTCCATTGCCGCTTCTGACACTGATCTGCTGTGTGAAATGATAAGCACCAGGCACTTAAGAGTACTTAGAACCCAATCTATCAGCTTCATTTAGCATGGACACTCTAAGGGTATGTCTACACTACCGCGCTAATTCGAACTAACTTAGTTAATTCGAACTAAGCTAATTCGAACTAACGGATCCAGACTAAAAAACTAGTTCGAATTAGTGTTTTGCTAATTCGAACTAGCATGTCCACATTAAGTGGACCCTGAACCGGGGTTAAGGATGGGCGAAGCAGTGCCGTCAGGGAATCAGATGAGGACTTAGAGCGTGGAGATGCTGTCTCAGGCTAGCAGAGGGCTGTGCTTAAAGGGTCCCGACCCCCACCCCGGACAGACAGTTCTCAGGGGTGCCCCGCTTGCAAAGCAGTCCTGGGTTGGAGTGCCCTGAGTGCCCACATTGGGCACATCACAGCACTCGGCCATCAGACCAGCTGCACTTGCCGCAGGCTGCCATCTGGGGAAAGAGGGCAATTGGGGGGCTGCAGGAGAGCTTCCACCCCCAGAAGCCCGCAGAGCCACCCCAGTCCTCCCCATCGGGGGCTTGTACCCCATTCCTCCCTCACCTCCTTCCACTTACCCCTCCCTAGCCCCCCTTCCTGATGTACAAAATAAAGATAAC